TTTTGACCTTTTTTTTTTTTTTTCTATTTCCTAGTCAAATGTCACTTTTGAAATACGCTACAGTGCAAAGGTCATTTTCATGTATTTCCTCGTTTCAAATTAGCAAAGGACGAGATAGTTTCAGATAAAGAACAACTTCATTATTATGATAATACATAATGGAAATTACATAGAATCAAACATTTTAAGTTACCATTTCAAAAATCAGATTTCAAAGTTTTTGTTCAAAAATCAGATGATAATTTAATTTTTATTACTAATAATATTATTATTAAATTAAACTAATTTACCACCTTCCCTTTACCCACCCCACAAACCCTAATTCATTTTGAAAAATATCCTGACTACTTCATTTCACGCGACTTTTGGATTCGATTGTGGCTTGGCGTGGTATCGTGCGCAGTGATTGGGTGCAGTAGCACTACAACAAAAATAGTCATTTGCAACACTAAAAAGGCAACATTTGTTGATAAATGTTGCAAAAATAGTCTTTTGGCAACATTTTAGTAAGTGAATGTTGTCATAGATATTAATAAATACCTTTTGCAACGTTTTTTAGAAGAATGTTGCGATAGACCCCCTTTTTGCAACGTTTATTGAATGTTGCAGAATATTTCACCTTTTGCAACGTTTGTTAAACGTTGCGAAAAGTGAGACATTTTGCAACGTTTGACAAGTGCCAAGGTTGCCAAGCGTTGTCAAATGTGAGACCTTTGGCAACGTTTTTGTCAAACGTTGCCAAAACTTTTGTGTTTTTTTTTTAAATATACCCAACTCAAATTAACTCAAACCCTCATCGCCCATAATCGTTCATTCCTCTTAGGTAATGTCTCCCCGTTCATTCCTCTCCAACCCTAATAAAATCCCCAATTCCACTTCGTTCCTTCTCGCCCTAGCTCTCCCTTCCTTCCTCTTTGCTACTCACAGATTCAGTTCCAAAATTAATTAGGGATTTGATTTTGTCTCTTTTTCTTTCTTACTTTTTTTCTGTAAAGAAGTTAAATCTGGACCAGCACCAAATAAATAAAATCAATTACCCAAACTCCATCCCGTCGTTGTCGACCTCGCGAAGAGGCCAACCCACGCGTGAAGAAGCAACACCCATTTCATTTTTATATTTCGAGCAAGACTCGTTGGCTAGCACTGGTCGAAGGTAAATGTGAAAAATCTTTTTTCATTTTTGAACTTCAGATATATGGTGCTGTGGGTTGTATGATTTTTTGTTTTTTAAGCTCAATGATCTGTAATCCCTAATTAATTTTGCATTAGAGAATTCAGTTGCATACCTGTTCCTTTGGTGAAATCTTGTTTCTATATTGGTTGGTTTAGTGTTTACATTTTCTGAAATTGACCGGATATTAAATGTGATGATTTCAATGTAATCTAGTTTTGAACAGTTGACATAGCATGTTTCTTAGTCAGTTATCACTATCTATGACTAACTTAAATTATCGCTCCATTTGCACACAACACAACACAGAGGTGGATGAACGAGTAAGTAAACGTCAATTTCAATTATTTATACTTCTAGATATTGTTTAGATTATTTCGACTAATAAATGTTGTTTTTATTTAAAAGGGTAAAATGGTTGCACAAAGAGGGAAGAGAGATCAGTGATAAATGTTGCGGATGATAAATCTTTCCAATTCGTGCCGACCCCCATGGTGGAGCGTAAATCGCGGTCAAGATGTATTCGTTCTAGACCGGCAGCTACTCAGAATTTCTGTTATTGATTTTGACAATTTATTGATTCGGAATCGATGATTTTCATTAAAAGTTCCATCT